AACAGGGTGGAAGGAGGAAGAGTTGTTTGCATTTGTTACTTGATTTCATCTTCAAGTATGAGCATATGTGAAGACACTGAGAAGTTTTGGAACTAACATGAGTTTAAAGTCTGGATTTCAAGACATTTTAATTAGTTTGAACACTCATTGATGAAATCAAAATTACTTTAAAACTTTAAATTGACTTATTTTTCAGTTATATTCTATTATCTAATTAATGTTAGTATTTTGTGGCCTAGCTGTCTCTAGATGCATTGGGATTAATTTCCAGAATTTTTAACCAGAAGTTTAAGGCTAAGTTTGTTATTACAGATAAGGCTCCAACCTATTACTCCACAACAGACATTTTCAGAATAATACCAACTAGAAAAGCATTTTCCCCAACCTGGACCTAAACTCTTAAGAGGATTTTTGGGTCGCATTTATGATTCTTATTACCTGCACAAATCACCCTTCTACAATGTAATGAGTATAAAAATATAAAAACAGAAATATATATTTTGTGATATAGCTTTCCAAAGTTTTTAAACTTTTGTTCTTTCATTTTTTTAATGTTCCCACTGAATCAAAATGATACAGAAATTATGCACAACTCTCCGACTACAGAAATTATGCACATTTTTGAGACTATAGAATTTTTTCATTTATACCTGAATTTCTTTTGGGTGCCTAATTGAAAAATTGAGACTCATATAGATTAATAATAGAAATATGATCTGCAGCAAATTTCCAAAGTACTTGTTTCCATTGTGTAAATCTAGTCTTCTTTAGTCCCATAAAGTGAAGATCCTCAAAAGGAACCCACAACCTATGCAATTAACATATGATTTCATTGCATTTTTAGCAGTAGATGCTACATGTGTCCCAATATTTAGCTGTTTCCATTTTTGGAACAGAAGATTGATAAATGACATTATTCTTCATTTAATATTGCAGTGAATTTTATTTTATATCGTTATTATGTTTTCCTTCCAAGTTTCTACATGTTAACTCTTTTTAAAATAAAGTATCCTCAAATATCACAAATGTGAAAATATAAAGCACAAATCAAAACAATGTCCTTGCTTTTTTTTTAATGAATGTTATGGAAAAACTCAAGACAATTTCATCGTAGAATACAAAATCTTCAAGGCTTATCAAGACAAGAAATAAGACCAATATACTGATTTCTCAAATGTATGGTCCCCCCATAGATTTTGACTAAGACGAATGGCAAAGATTTGGCTTTCATACTTTAGGTGTATTATAGTACAATGTCCATGCAAGCAAGTTCTGTGCAAGGAGACTCAAGTAAACCACAGCTTTTATCTTTATTATAACGAAAGCCAGTGCCTAGATAACAAAAAGAGGAAGTATAGTTAAACAGAGGACTACAGAGCATTTATTACAGCATTATGGTTTCATTTTGTACTTCTTCAAAAAGTGGAATTGCATCATTTCCAATCCATGAAAATAATGGCTGACTGGTGTGAAGTGGAATGGGCCATAAGCACCTTGAAGCACACTTCTGTTACTCTATGCAGTTTAACTTCACAACAAACCTGTGAGGTCAGGCAAAAAAAAGAAGAAGAAAAGGTCACACAGCAAGTTTTGTGACTATGTGAGATTTGAATGTAAATCTCATCAGACTTCTCGCTACCCCACAAATTGTTCCTTTTTGACAAAGGTGCAGAGCTAATGGGATATTGGTGAAGTATAGCTCTTTGCAGTCCTAGCAATTACATTCAAAGGAGAAAAAATATTGGATATTGTTGTCCAACAGTATCTCTAGAACTGCAAATTCCCCAGGAGAGCCCTACATTGATGGTTGTGCCCCTGAATGATTGGACTGATGTAAGAGTGGGACATGAGCTGTGGGAGGAGGGGGATATATTAGATGAGCACATTTAAGATTTATTTTAACACAGAACCACATATAGACATGCCTTAAAGGGCAAATGCTATAATACATAAACACATGAAACAACTATGAGCTATTTCACCATCTATTTTACAAAAACCACTTTCAAAAGTTGTAATCTTGAGCGCAGGAATGGCACAGAAAGTAAGACACTTAATAATCCTAGGTTTCTTCTTGAAATCAGCAGCATTTTAGCTATAGTATTTAAAACAAACATTTGAACTTGAAAAAGGCCATGAATGTTTCAAAAAGAGAAATGGCTGGCAAGAGACGAGCTGTGCATTGCTGTGTCTAAAACAATTTTTCTTTTTAAAAAAATCCAAAAGTTGATAGGTATCTAATATTCCATTTGTTCATGTGAAGGATATACTCAAACAACAAATCCGTACACACTCTTTCAACTATAGCCTGACTTATACATTATGAAGCTATCCCTATGTAAGTCAATGGGACATATAGCCTATAACAGTGGTTTTCAACCTTCCCAATACAGTTCCTCATGTTGTGGTGACCCCCAACCATAAAATTGGTTTCTCGGTTCCTAAGACCATTGAAAATATGTGTTTTCCGATAGCCTTAGGTGACCCCTGTGAAAGGGTCCCTTGACCCCCAAAGGGGTCCTGACCCACAGGTTGAGAACCATTGGTCTATAATGTCTTATAAGGCCTTCCCAAAAATGAATTAGTTTCCAAAGCAGCAGGGATCAAATCAGAATCCCATTCGATGCCATTTTGGGCTGAGTGAAATGAAACTATCTTTGGTACAAACAACGACCTGTATGCCACATATGTAAAAGAGCATGCTTTGCAAGAGCAGTACGTGGATTTAAAATTTAAAAAAATCAAACCATGTTAGTGTTCCATTCCCAATACCAATTCACCAGTAAACAATTACCAGAAAAAGACGTGTATACCAACTATTGGTTACAGAGTTACATTGCAAGTTCAACTTTTATTTTAAAAAAACTTTAGAAAATCCCTTTATCTGACAGAAACAAGTATATAGTTTATACAAGAATATAGAGGCAGTGTGGCCTAGTGGTTAAGGCACCGGGCTAGAAAGCAAGAGACCGTGAGTTTCTGGTCTTAGCCGTGAAAGCCAGATAGGTGACTTTGGGCCAGTCGTTCTCTCTCTGCCCAACCCACCTCACGGGGTTGTTTCTGTGGGAAAAATAGGAGGAGAGTTGAGTATGTTTGCCGCCTTGAGTTATTTTTAAAAATAATAAAGGTGGGATACAAAAATAAATAAAAATACCTAACGTATAATATGACCATATAAGAGAACCTCTCTCATTCTTAGATAGCTACCAATGTTTCCATGTAATAACCAAGCAAAATAGATTAAAATAGATGCCCCTAGATTTTTAAATTGGTTACTTTTTTAAAAAAAAAATCTCTATTTACATTTCTTATGTTTCATTTTTTTCCCAACAGTGAATTTAAATTCTGAAATGAACAGCGGACACAGCTTTCTATAGTCATCATATCAAAAGGTAATAGATCTTGGAGGCCATCCAATCCAACCTCTGCTTCGGAGCAGGATTCACTAGAGCAGTGTTTCCCAACCTTGGCAACTTGAAGATGTCCGGACTTCAACTCCCAGAATTCCCCAACCAGCGAAAATAAAATCCACTCCTATATTACAATCTCTCAGATACTGAACACACTATAGGCTAAATATACACAAGACCTCTTAACGTCATAAGAATGTCAGAGAAAATATCAGCAACTTAAGTGTCTTTAAAAAATAACAAGAAAGGATTTCAGGTGTGAATAACTTCAGAACCTGAGTGCGTATAATGACAAAGGAGAGGCTGTCCTCATATAGCAATTAAAATTGGGGAGGGGGGAATCAATTTCCTATGTAGCCAAATAACTCACAAAAGGCACATGCATGCATTGACTGCCATCTAAACTTGACAGATATTATAATATACCTTCTATTCCTCTTTTTTTTTAATGCAAAGCTTTGAAATGTTATTGATACTACCTAACACCCTCATTGTTGCTATAGTAAGTTAGAAGCTCCCTACTTCGCTGCTGGCAGTTGCGGATTATATTCAGCTCAGCTAAGACTAGGGAACAGCAGCTGCGACTAGAGAACACATAGCAATGGAGAGAAGAGAATTATATCACAGAATTATTCTGTTCACCCTACCTAGCGTTTTGTCTTTACCAATGTCACTAACACTCAATCTCTGTCCGAGAAAACGCGCTAGGCAGAATAAGATGAATTTGACGTCATTCCTAGAAATTAGGAGCAAAGGTGCCCCTGTGGAAATATCCTCAGAGGACCCAATGCAACCCACTTCTTGGAAAAGACCTGCTCTTCTTTTTGGACTGATAACACAGCAGCAGTTGTGCACCCTGTGTTATCTTCACTGGTCCTGCAGTAGTTGCGGGGCTTAAGCCTGAACTAAAATCCTTTGGCAGGGCACATGGACAAAGTGCTACATACAGGGAGCGGCTGTCCGATCATCATCATGCATCTTTCATTCAATAATAAGCACTTTTTAAACTCACATTTTGACAACCAGCCTGAACTAATAATGGAAACAGTCTTAGTCTATTTGTTGTGCAAATAGACTAAGGGAGGAGTAAAGCGCCTCTTGTTATAGAAACATCCACTTTTTCTAAATAAATAAAAAACAGCTTTCTAATTGTGTCAAAAAGTGGTTTGAGTGATAATTACAACTCATCTTTCATTTATTATAGGAGTTCAACCATCTTAGCTGGTCAGTTGAATGGACCAAAGGGGGATATTCTTAACAGACTTGCATCGCTTTATTCTCCATGAAAATCATAGTTTTTTTAAAAAAACATTGTAAAAGTGAGGGTATTTTTTCCCGCCCTTTGGAAAAACCGCGACCGAATGTAATTCTGAGGCTGCACCCAAAAGCTCGGAGAAAGGCACCGGCAGATGCCGCATGTACCGTACTCGACCACGGGAAAGAGGCTCTTCCATTCATCCCAGCACTAATTGGGAACCAGGAATATGCGAAGCTGGTAAGAGTCCACCCGTAGCTGTACAATCCACTCGTCCATGGGTTTCGCTAAACTCCAGCCACCCTCTCCCCACTTTTTTCGCAGTCCCCGCTTACCTTCCAGCCCGCCGAGCTGTTGCTGTCGCCCTTATCCTTGAAGTAGGGCACGCAGCGCACCATCCACTCGTAGATTTGGGACAGGGTGAGGCGCTTCTCCGGCGAGCTCTGAATGGCGCGAGTGATCAGGTCCGCGTACGATAAGTTCCCCCACGCGTTTCTCCGGGACGAGCATTTTCGCGGCGCGGCCGCTGTTCCCGCCGCCACTGGCTGAGGCTGCTGCCCGCCGCTCAACGCAGAGGCGCCAGATCCTTCCCCGGGCAGTCCGGAGAAGGGAACCAGCAGACGGGCCGTGTCTTCCGAAGCGAGAGCGTCGCCGGCGCCGCCGGAGACAGCGGCGGCGGAGGTGCCCCCTTGCTCCTCGTCGTCAGCGTCGTCGTCCTCTTCGGGAATCATGGAGGCTGCGTCGGCGGCCGCATCTCCCGAAGGCTTGGCCGGGCTCGTTTGGAGCTCGGGCCTTTGCAGGGGCCACGTACAGGAGCGAGGACGGCTCTGGGGCTCGAACTCCGGGTCCAACTCCACGTCCAGAGGGGACAAGAGCGCGGGGGGAGACACTTCAGCCATCTTGGCCTCCCCCCGCTTTTGAGGCGATCCCTTCTGTCCTTCCCGCTGTCAGACGGGAACCCGATCCACGCTCCGGTCTCTTCTCCTCGCCCAGCTCCCTGCTAGAGATTAGCGAGCTCCAGCAAGCACGCCGCTCTCCATTCAAGGTCCGGCCGCCTCCTCCTTCCTGCCCGCCACCTCTCTCTCTCTCTCTCTTTCTCGCCCGTCTCCCCCGCCGGAGAAAGGAAAAGTTCTAAGGCGATCCGCAAGCGATCCGGGACTCTCCGGGTTCCAGGTCAGCTCTCTTTCCGCTGCCCTTTGAGGCTGACCGATTTGGGAAGCATTTCCAAAGACGGCAGAGCTTGGAATCAAATCGCGGCTCTGCGCCCGCGCGTTTGTTTATCTTTCGCTACGCGCCTGAGTCCTCCAATAGCATCGCTCTGTAGCTGTTAAAGAGACCCCCCATTCACACGACCCCCAGCATCATTATTTTTTTTAAAAAAAGAAAGAGGTTCGCGAGTCTCTCTGTTGCTGGTTTGATGGGCGCCTTCGGTCTTACAAGTCCTTCTTCCCAGCGCCTTCACGGAGAGCACCGAAGCCTTAACACCCATCCAA